CCACCCTTCAAATAGGAAAAGACCGGGTCACCCACAAGGTCAATGCCCCAGTGCCCTGCAACACGTCCAAGAGGTCACACCGATTTGAGCCACCTAGAACCTTGAGCCCAAATCTTGAGCCAGTCTCTCTCTCTCTCTCTCTCTCTCCTTCCTCTCTCTCTCCTGTACATCCTTGCGTCGAATAGTTACTCTACTCTAAATCTCCTATGGCGTAGATATGCCTAGATCCGGCTGTCTCATTCACGCAATTTCATTCCCCAAACGCGACCTGACAAGGCTCCACTTGCTCCACATACTCCAGGTGCAGTCACGAGGGCCCCAACCTTGAGAAACCGTTTCCAAAGCACTGGTCGCACCCCGTGGATTTCTCGGCTAGCAGGCTCAGTGGACTGCAACAAATGCCATCGCGAAAAGAAGCTTTGTGCAACTTGCAGGCGAAGTGGCCACACCAACGCCGTCGCTGGTGAAGGTTCTTTCCAGGAGTGCCCAAGTTGTTTCTTCTCCTGGCCATCGCCTTTGAGGCCTTTGACAAATGCCAAATACATTGAATAGTAATTACAGAAAAATGTGTAATGAAAATTGCGGACTTGAACGATCGGTTGGCAAAAACTGAACTTGTGCACCACACTGTGCCCGCGTCAGGTGCCAAAAACAGCTGCCTGTGGCTCAAATCATTGATGAAATGATTCTCATTGTTGCTCCGACACCTAGGATGGCCAGATTTCAAGCTGCACGGCCCAAGCTACATTAGTAGCTTCTCGTTTTCCGGGATGTGGGCCAGCTCAAAGAATAGCATCTGCAAATATTCGTCTCCCCTGCTGGGGCCACACTGGAATCAAACCTCATGCCAAGGTCCGATCTTCCCAACCCCCCCCACCCTGGAATGCCATATGCTACTAACTCCAGACTTCACTGCTGAACCCAAATATAGTATTAAATGTTGAAAACTTTATCGAGTGCAATTCTTCTGTACCAGTGACAATGAGGCCGTGCATAGCACGGAGCCCTGCACTCGGAGCTCTTGCCATGCACCTCGCAGAAATGTGCCAGTCATATGAAAGGGAGCACAGATTACCAGCAACAAGGCCCGAACCCAGAGAGGGCCGACCATACAAAACAACGCCATCTTCGCAGGTGCAGTTCCCTCCTTCTTTGGCACACTCGAAGAAGCCTCAAGAGTAGGTCAGATATGGTCGACAACCCCGATAGTTGGTGTGCCCCTGATATAGAAACTCAGAAAGGCACTGTTCAGACTATTCTTCTCTCCGTCATTGAACACCTGCAAATTCCGATCAGCTATGCAACAATATGCAACATGGTATTGCGTCACAACATCCTCAACTAAACACAGGGCCTCATCGTCTACGGTGGACCTAGGAAACAGGCCCAATACACTTGTAGGACTTTCTGGCTCCAAACGCATGATTCTTTCATCCATGGCGATCGAAAAGACCACGAGAAGCGAGAAGCGATGATCACTACGACTACGAACGGATCCCATTTGCGGCTCTGGGCGCCGTGCTTGTGGGACTTCACTGTTGCCAGTTGCTCCTGAGCTTTCTGACACCGTGGCAGACAAGAATGTCGCATGAAATCATATTGTAAAGCCCAGCAGTCAGCACACAGGGCAAACGTGAATTGTCCTCCTGGTTATCTTCGACTCGCATCAACCTACAAGTGTGCCAAGACCTCTCACAATTTATGGCCTTTGCACTCTGCACTTTCAATTTTCACCTCCTTACACCTCCTTACAGTTTTTTGTGCCATCAAGGGAATTGGAGTTGGTAAGTAGTAATTTGATGAGATTGCGAAACTGATCCAAAGTGTGTCTTTGTGGCCGAACTTGGCGTCTCCCCCAATTGTCATAAACATCATAAGCGATGAAATTCCTTTCTGCATGTCACATACCCGGATTACCACATAGCAAAAGGATGACAGTAAATCCAAGCATATCTAAGCACGAAAAACCCTGAGCTGGGCAGAACCACATCGAGCCTGTCAATCCTGCCATCCGCATGCACCTAGACACAGTGTCTGACACAAGACTGCGAGCTCTCGGTCGATAACCAAAGTGACAATCATTCAACATTCGACTCTAAACAATTAGTAACAAGAAGCTACTAGGAACAAGTGCATCGCTACTAGTAACAAGTGCCTTACTAGTAACTAGTAGAAACAAGAAGCTATTAGTAACAAGTGCCTTCTAGAGGTGTTCTCGGTCACTTGTCGGGCATTCGAACGACCGGCAATCACATCTTCACTACTTCGGTTTTGACCAGTGTTTCACCAGGTTCAATGACCACGCCCCGACGATCACCGTGACGGACCTTAAAGTAGTGTTCAGCCAGAATTCTTGTAACATCTTGTAACGCCTCCAGTGTACATAAATGTTGTAATTCTGCTTTTTGACCAACAGTTCGTTTCCCACTCTGCACGCGGCACATCGAAGCATGCCAAAACAAAACCGATGCCATGCTTCGAAACGCAGCGTTCGATGCCATGCCTCCGCGCTGTAGGCGTTGGCGAAGCCGAGTTGTTGGCCTCGGCCCAGTGGATCCACTCGACTCGCTTCGGCTCGACGGAATCCACTCGGCCAGCCACCGAGCAGTATCGACACCTCAGCGATGTCGACCCCCCAAAAGGGGGGACTGCGATGTCGACAACAGGACTGCCATGTATGCCATGTGAACTGCCATGTGATATTCAGCGTGGTTTCATGATCATAGCATGTTTTATTGTGTTATGTAAGATATGTAATTATATATATATACAATATGTATATATAGTACGAACATGTATGAAAGAATGCATCATAATATAACAGGCAATGAAGCAATTCCGTGCAAGTGCTTCAATAGTCTTCCAGGTGAAGAAATGAAATTGGGTCTGCCACAAAGAACAAGGAAGGTGGACATGGAACTGGCGGACTTGATGGCACTTGGGGTTGCGATCTGAACTGTGCCCATGGCCACCGTCTTCATGACGTCAATGAGGGCAAAATCATGAACCCTGGGTGCTTTCGACAACCCGAAGACTTCTCTGAATGCATCAGAATTCAAGAAGCACAAGGCACATGCAAAACAAGGAACACCAACACAAGCCTGCCTCTGAAGAAGTTTCAGTGCCGCTGTATGTATCAAATAACTTCATCAAGCCACTTGGCTTCAGGCCATCAAGCCAAATATTGGAAATAATGTACCACAAAAACTCCTGAATACTCTGACCTTGAGACCCTCTCTGTTTAAAGAAAAACTGTGGCAGTAGACAACTAGACCATACCATACTGTGTTCAAAGCTAGTCAGCTAGTAAACTGCCCGGCAGAGGGAAGGGAACATTCTGACGATTCGATCTTTTGCTGCGTTCTGAGTTCTGGCATCAGCATAGGTCAGGTGCTTTTACACCATTTGTTGGTCCAGTTTTTGGCCATGATGCCCGCTCGTTAGAACCACGAGGACTCATTCTCCTCAGCACCTTCCTCCACCTTTCAAAGTACACTGGCAAACCATAATTGATAAGCCCTTCTCTCCAACCTTGCAAAGAGCTGCGTCTTCATCCCCTTCATGCGCGATGTCACCCATCTGGCATCCCAAGAGAGTCTTAGATGGGCAGGGCAGCAAAAAAGGAAAACAAATGGACAGCTTCACCGCCATACCGTCCTCGCATGTTGACCTGTACATGTCATCTAGCACATGTCAGAGCATGTCTGAGCTCTGGTTCGGCCTTTGACATTACCACCTTAGACCTTGGTCTTCCTCGCTTCGATCTTGCAATCTGTGTCGTACATTGAGCCACAAGTGTCATAAACGGATGTGCATTAGAACATGAAAAACCCCTCAAAGACCTCTGGAGAAAAGAAAATAAATCCATTGATTGGGAGGTCCCCCTTTTCAACAATTGCACACCCAAATGGAGCCAAGGCACCGTCCCCTCTCCGAGGGCTTGGAGACATCGGCCGTAGGCTTTCAAGACACGTGCAGCATCAGTACGGCCTCATCGTTCGCCGTTCGCGGCAAGCGGTCGTCAAGGCCAATGAGCCAATGCTCCGTCCGTAGCGATGCCAGGAGCCCCGTTCGTAGCCTCTTTGCTCCTACTAGTAAGGCCAGGAGCCCGGATCTTGGCTTCTTGTTCCTAGTGGACATAAAGTTTGAGCCCCAGAGACTCCATTGGATCCAGCCACCCTCATTCCCTACTTTCGTCGCACAAGTCAGAAGAAAGCCAAACATCCCTGGATCCTACCAATTCGTGGAAGCTGTGTGCGCAAGCGCATGCTGCTTCCAGGTTTCGGTGGCACGCCTAGTCCCTCTGTCTATCGTCATCAAACGGTGCAAGTCAAACCTGGATGTTGTTAATCCTTGCCGTTCGTTTGCAAGTCTGTGCGGATAGCATTAACATGCATTAACACAGCCAATTGTCACAGTGGTGTAAAGTGGGCACGGCAACCCTTTGCATGTTTCATGCACGCTGGTGGCATAAAGCCCACGCAGGAGAATCGTTGCTTGAAAGTGCTTGCCCGTTCAAAAGCTGTGGAACAATCAAAGGCATCCGCAAACCAAGCTTGCTGGTTCTAATTCTGATTGAGAAGTCCGATTCATTTTCCTGTGGCACAATACAGTCAAGGTGCCCACTGCCTTGTTCTCCTGTCAATACATGTGAACAAGGAACTTGCGCTCCACCCATTTCGCTTGGATGGTTCAGTTCGCGACAAGCAGTGCGGCCGGTCCTTTCGACCAAGTCTGCGCAGCAAAATGGAGGCAAAGTCATGGCATGTGTCCTGAAGTCAGGCAGCAAATGAAAGCAATGAAGAAGGTGACTATGACTATAAAGCTTGAAGCTCTGGATCATCCTGGATCCATGACGTCCATGACCTGCACTCCACATTAACATGAGTTTAAACTGGCAAGCCCCCAAGCTCCTGCTTCGAGTCCGCTGCCGCGCCTTTTGCCGTTCAGCTAAGAACTGGCTTCAGGCCTCCATGGCGTGCCTACGCCGTGCCTGAAAGATTCCAGCCTATACGGCCGTCGGAACATACACCAATTGAGCCAAGCCGTGAGATTCACACGGATCAAAATTCTCTGTTGGCTCAAATTGGATCTGCCTCTGGCTATGGTGACCTAGGGAACCTGGATTTGGGCTTCGCTGCGGCACGATGTCCTTGGGACATGCCTGATGCAAGCGACCAATCCTCGTCATCTGTGGCCAAATGGTACTGTTCAGTCAGGCCACTGAGTTCCATCACCAGCTCCAGCTCTGCGCCGAATTCGCGAAGCATCATTTGGAGATACTTCTGCCTCCATCCCAGATATCCATGAAACTTCCGGGCGCCCTCGTGGCAGAGTTCAGCCACTGCGGCGCAAAATTCGGCATCTGTCGGGGTCATTGCCCTCACCAATGACGGCTCGTATCCCTTCTCTGAGGTCGGCTGGCCCTCCTCAGTCTTCTCTTCAAAATAGCTGGATCGAACCCCTTCGCGCAACACGGTGCGGAAGGCCTCACCCCACTCGCCGGTCCCCTCCGGCATCGGTGACACCTTGTTTTCCTTGAGCAGGTCCTTGTAATGCATGAGCACGGCTTCCACGGTGGTCTCGGCACGGTCGAGGTAGGCCGCTCCAGTCTGTAGCTGGAGCATTTGAGTGTTCACCGTGTAGGTCATCGTGAGCACTCCTTTCTCTCCCCTGAATTGTTTCGAGTCCACCATCTCCAAAGGCAACTTGGTCTTGCATGAGGCTCTTGTCTGCACAATGGTCTTCTTGAATTCTTCTTCATTCCGGGCATACCTGTAGGTCATGACCTCCATGAGTGCACTCATCTCGATCTCCTTCAAACCTTTCGTGTCGATCTTCACCATCTCAGCTGCTTCTACTGCACTTGCGATCAAAACGTCTGAGCCTCTAGTCTCTTGCGGTCGTCGCTTTCGAATGGCTCTCTGCTCTGCAGCGTTTTGAAGCATAACACTCTCATTGTTCAGATGGTACTGGTTACTAGTAATAGCCCCTCTCAACACATCCATTGCGTCTGCATTCTCCTTTGTTGGAGCGTCTGCTAGCTGTAGCCAGGTTGGTGCCCACCTGATAGTTCCCCAAACTCGTTTCATCGTTTCCTTCACTATGATCAAGTCAATTGCCACTCTCTTGTCGGAAACGCTACTTGGGGATGAGTATGTCTGTAGATGGTCATAGATGCTTTTGCAGTCTGTGATGGCCTGAATGCAAAACTCCTTGATGAATTGCTCCAACGAAAAATCAGGCAAACGAAGTTCAGCTAAATGACAGGCAATCCACTCAGTATGTCCCAGTCCGTCCATAAGAGCTTGAGTCTCTCCAGCAAACGTTGAACCAACGACCCTCTTTAGTCTATACGATTTCCAGGTGGCTGGTGCCCAAACTGCTGGTGCTCCGGTCCGAAGTTCATCTGTCGTCACTCCAACAATGTTCCCTGCTTGTGTTCCTTGCTTTCTGGCGTTTGCAAAAGCAGCATCGGTGTGTAAACAGAGTCTGATATTGTCGAAGGGAATGGGTAAGATCTTCCAGGTGAGGTGCTTGTATTGCTTTGCTCTTCTGGTGACATTGGCGACTGTTCTGGCTTCACCTAGTGTTGGTGACGGCATCAGTTGTTGTCCCTGACTTACCTGCACAGCCAGGTCCGGACGTGTTTCTTTTGCCAGCCAGAGTCCTGCCCCGAGGACTGACTTCAAGGACGTGGCTTCCTCGGCATTCACTGTTGTTGTGGCGTCCTCCTTTGTCCTCAATTTTGGTTTCACCATGTTTTCTGCAAATTGTTCTTGGCTCACTGTTATCGCACCTGTCTCATCTTGTGTCAAGTTTGACCCACAGAACGTCCCTTTACCAGTCATCCACTTGCGAAATGGGAACTGCTGTTTGAGTTGAACAATTGCCTTCTCAAAAACGTCCCCTCTTCCTCCCAGAACCACATCGTCGACATGGACCCCCATGACACCTCCTAGCACAGTCTCCCCTGACTTATGCCGTCGGTCCCACAACATGTACAGACATGGATCTAATCTCGAAGGTTGCCAACCCAACTTGCGAACAGTCTCATCGAATGTACTGAACCACTTTTGTGGGCTGTCGTTGAGGCCATAGAGCGGCCGGATCACTTCAAATAACTGTTCTGGGTCGTGATCAGGTAGTTGGAAGTTCTTTGGACCTGACATCCATAGTCTTTGATCTCTCTTTAACTCTTTCGTTTCCAGGAAGGCTCCTGTCACATCACCCAGCTGTAGTGTGAACTGGTTGCTCGCGATGACCTGCAGAACTGTATACCTTCCGTTTGTGGAGATTGTTGGAGATTGAGTCTTACCACTACGAACCAGGTTCAACAGGTCGGGGTCCTTGTCTCCTCTTGCTGTCCACCTGGCCTTCACGATCTGTTCACCTGTGTCCTCTGTTTTCTGTGTCAACACCAACCGACTTGGAATCACGCGTTCTGTATGTTGCTGTCTGATTCTTCTGGATTCATCAACTGAGCAAGGTCGTAATGCATGTTTGTCCTCAACGCAGTTCTTCACTTCCTTCCTCACTCCTCGAACCAACAGCTCCTGTCCTTCTGATGATTTCCAAAAATCCTCCTTTGGGTTAATCTCCTTCCTGCCTCCGGCCAACAACACATGAACTTCTCCTGTGGGTGTCTCCTCACTGCACAACACAAAGTTTACATCCTCACACGCCCCTCGTTCATGAAGTGCAACGTTTTGTGCTGCTGAATCCACGGGATCAACGACTTGTGTTGTAACCAGTGCTGATGTTCCAGATGAAGCAATGCTTGACCCGCTTGACACTGGGACTGGTGGCAGACTCTGTGGTGTTGTTGGGACTCGTGGCAGACTTTCCGGTGTTCTAGGTGCTTGTTCTCCTGGTGGTGTGGGTAATGATGGTGGGAATCTCATTCCTCCAACATGTTGCTCTGATCGACTCCTTTTCGGCTCGGGTTCGCTGCCGCGAGGGCGGCAATGTCCATCCAGTCGGTCGGCGCGTTCAGAGGACTCTTTCCAAGCTTCCCGCTCCGTGGCACTCAATGATTCCAGCTGATCGCTCAACGAGGAATTGATGGTCATGGGTTGACTCCCTGACCTATGGTCTGGTGCCTCTGGATCGGGCTGCAGGCCCTCTGGTTGGGGTTGTCCCAACTCTGGTGCTTCGGCTGGTGTCTCCGGAAATAGGTCACCTGGTGGAAAGTCTTCTTTGGTAATGTCAATGAAGTTCTTTTGGGTCTTGTTGGATGGTCCCACCTCCGGAAACAACTGTGCTGCCGCTGCTCTAATATCTCGGACCAAAAACCGGTCAGCCTCGCGTTCAGTAGCTGTTCTTAATCTGAGTTGCTCTGGGGAACACTTGATGAAAGACCCTGGCATGCTGACCCAAAAATTTCCTCCTGTTTCACCTGCCACTATTCCGGGTCCTCTCCAACGTGCCATGTTCTTCTTGATTCCCCTTCCGCGACGCCAAACTGCTACTTCATCGCCGGGTCTGAATTCCCTCTTGGGTCTTGGTCTGGTGTTCAAAGCTATGCGGGCTGCACGGTGATCCAGTGATTGGAGAACTGCCTCGCGAGCTTTCTGCCGTGCTATGGCATCCTCTACGATTGCACCATTTGCGATGGGATTGGGGTCCTCTGTCAACAAGTCATCCCCGGGGATTTCAGGGTCTCTCCCAAAGACTAATTGATTTGGACTGTATCCTCCTCGTCTCATCAGTGCATTCTTCGCTTCAACAGTCACATCAACACATTCCAACCAGCTAGAATAATCCTCTGGCATCATCTGATCAATCACTTTGGTCAGCATCGTGGCAAAGTGTCTTCCCTGTACCTCTACATCCCCCATCTGTTCGTGAGCTTCACCTGGTACATCTAGTGGGGTAGTTCCATCCCTCTCCAATGCGTCTAGAAAAGTCTGTCCTAGATTGCACCTACTCGCATCGAACTTGATGTACTTCGGCCGCCCAAACGAACGGGTCCAATGTCGATACAGTCTAACCAGAAGATCTGAGTTCTCGGTTTCCCGGAACGGGTACATCTGTTGGAATCCGGTGGCCCTGCAAACAATGTTGACTGCTTTGATGCTCATATCTCGCTTCCGACCTGAGCCATTTCACATCGAAACCGATGTATCTCAATGGGGCCAAATCTCGAGGCACTGCACTCTCGCGAACAGCTTTGGGTGGCCTACGCGATTCACACAGGTCACACTGGTAGCTGCGAACCAGTTCCAGCACCTCCGGCCGTGCCCCATGATGCTTCAGGATGCGAACCATGTCGGCGGTCGATGCGTGACCAAGGTTGATGTGCATTTTGCGCACAGCGTTCAAAACCCTGTCTCTACTGACGGAGGTCATCTCCTTATCAGCCTCCAGTTGTACATCGGCCTGGCTAACCGGATAACATACCGCCTCATGTTGTTGCTGACACGCGAATCCTCCCAGTATGATGTTTATCAACCGTCTTGAATACACTTGGGTTTGAACCGACCTCAACTGACCCCCTGATCGGCCTTCCACCACCTGGTGATCGTGGTCATGCGAGCACTCCAACTTGTCCAGCATGGCTGCAATGGCTTCCGCATTAGTCAAGAAGCTCCATGACTTCTTGAACAGCAGCTTCGACTCCTTGTCTCGAAGGCCCACGGAGCATGCCGGCACCGTGACCCTCTGGCATTCGTCAAAGTCCATCAAATGTCCCATCGCCGGCAGCCGCCAAGCCGCACACGTCGCCGAGGACTCAAAGATGAAGTATTTGCCCTTTCGCATCCGATCCCTGGCGATCCTCGTGCACCAAGCCACCATCGCTCGCGCCTCGATCACATCTCGTTCATATTGTTCCGGATCAGCCCTCTTCCATGGTGGGGTCGAGTTCTGAAGTCGAGACAGTGGGCCGCACGGTGGCGAGAGGATCATCAAGTCAGGTTCCTCCTCTTCGATCAAGTCCCACACCTTCTTCCGATCCGAGGCTTTCTTCCAGTCCCAGCCACTGCTGAGATCAAAGCTTCCGATGACCCTCAGTCCAAAGTCTCCAGCCCGCTCAGCAAAGCGCCCGGGGCAAAAGACCTCCACCACTGACGGTCTCTCCGGTTCCGCCTGCAGGATCTCGGTGAGGTGCCCTTGAATCTTCTTTCTCTGTCTCCGGCCTTGAAGACACCAATTTCCCCTGTCTCATCCTCGCAGAACTCTTCTTCTGGCTCGCTTGCCGTCAGGTTGTCCTGGTCACCAGTCACATCGTGCTCCCCCTGGTCCTGGGTCTCCTGGTTCCCAGTCTCATAGTCCTCTGGAGTCTCAGTCTCAAACTCTTCCGGGGTCTCGGTCTCCTCCACCTCATCGCCCCCTTCCGGTTCGGGGCTGGTAGGCACATACTCTTCCATCTCATCCTCAGGAATCGTGCCCATGAGGTCGTCCCCGACGTTGATGCCACCCTCCTCCTCGTCCTCCTCGCCAAGATCCGTAGCCAGAACCTCCACTTCGGCATCCTTGATCTTTGGCGGTTTCTGGAAGTCAAGGAGGTTGATCTGGTAGCTCCCATCCCGTTGTTCCAACAGAGGCACTGCCAAGTGCGCTTTGGTGAACGTCACTTGACCCTGTCGCATGTCGATGATCGCCCCCAAGCACTTCATGAATCGCTTGGAGATCAAGAGCGGCACATCGCCCTTCACCACGTGCACTCTCAACCACAGCTGCACTCCTGCCAGGAACACGGGAATCTGCACGGTTCGATGGGAGACATCCACAGCGCTATTCCCGTAGCGAAACTTGTGGGGCTGAAGCAGCATCTCCTTGATCTCGTAGCCGTGCTCATTCAGCACCTTCTCATGTCGCTGCAAAGTCTTTTCCCCAACAAGTCCTCGTCCGCAGCCGGTGTCAACCACTCCATGACCTGCTGCATGGACGAGAGCCACGACAGTCTCTCCATCGAGGTACTCGGCTTCCTCATCCGTCTCCTCCATCATGGAATCCTCCGAGCCCGACTCCTTCAGAGCCTCCTCTTGCGCAGTGTCCAGCTCGTCCTTATATGCCTGCGCCAACATGTCGATCTCCTCATCGATCGGAGTGAACGGAAGGTCCTTCATGTAGAACACCGTCCGGCCGGTCCATTCCACACCAACATCCTTGTGTGCCTCTCCTCGGGCCTTCCAGTTGGGTGAGAAGTGCACCGCATGGGATCCATCCTCCTTGAACAGATGCGTTGACCGACTGTCACAAAGGTCATGGAGAGGTACCGGACAGTTCGAGGCCGCCGGCGTGAACAGTCGCGTCCTCGGCAAAACATGCTCACGGATCACTTCCGATCCTCGGGTGTACCAGAAATCTCTCGGCACATGACTCCATCCCTCAACCAACGCCTGCATCTCATGCCCATACATCTCCGGGCCAATCGGCGGGTTGTAGTTTTGCTCCAACTCACCTTCCTCATTCTCATCCACCGTCCAGTGGAGCTCCTTGTTCGAGCCCTTGCTTCCTCCCTTGCCTCGTTTGGGACAGTCTCTGGAGAAATGGCCCACCTGCCGACACTTGAAACACTTGACCCGAGCGGCCAACTTCTTCAGTTGCCCCTGATTCCCAAAACCTCTGGACATCTTGGTCTGGGCAATGGAGCTGCGTGTCTGTTTCCATGTCAGGAGGGCGTCGATGGCGTCTTGCTCTTCAATCTCTTCTTCCGGCTGATAGCCGGCATCGGTCAGGTACACGTCAAACTCCTCCTCCATGGTCTCTTCATCGTCATCCACCTGGCCCTGGTCGTACTCCACCTGGTAGGCATGTGAACTCTGCCTTGCCGCCGAGTAGAGCCCTTCGGGGAAGGTAGTCCTGAGCGCTGCTGCCACGTCCTTCTCAGCATAGCTCTGCCTAGCCGCTGCCATCACCACGGCTTTCCGCTCAGCGCTCAACTTGGCGAACCGCAGCAACAGGTACCCTCGGGCGACATCGGGTAGCACCACTCCCTCGGCCTCTGCCGACGAAAACGCTGCCCTCACCTTGCCCGTGAACACTGCGGTCGTTTCTCCCTTCTCCACCTTGAGGTCGAAGACCTGGTCAAGCACACTTCCCAGTCGGTCATGGGTGGCTTCAGCCGGGAAGCGGTCATCTAAGATCTGAAAGATCACCTCCTCGCCCCCGATCTCTTCCACTCTGTCCATGGGTATCTGGTCCAGTGCTCGAAGTGCAGTGCCGTCCAAAAGCGAGAACACCAGTGATCCATGGGCCTCAGGACCAACTCCCTTCGCCTTCTGAACGGTGAGGTATGCTCTGCACCATCTCCTCCATCTCTCGTAGTCCTTCGTCGGGTTCGACCCATCTCCGTCGAACCTCTTGGTCAGACCACCCTCCGTCTTCTTTTCCTCGCTCATGCTCTTCTCTCAAGCGGCGCCCCCGTGAAGGGGCTCCGCTACCAGTTTAAACTGGCAAGCCCCCAAGCTCCTGCTTCGAGTCCGCTGCCGCGCCTTTTGCCGTTCAGCTAAGAACTGGCTTCAGGCCTCCATGGCGTGCCTACGCCGTGCCTGAAAGATTCCAGCCTATACGGCCGTCGGAACATACACCAATTGAGCCAAGCCGTGAGATTCACAATGAGAGTGGACACCTTGTGCAAACACCAGACCTACCATATAATAGAAGAACATGAATATATACTATATAGTAAGGATCGAAAACTCGTTGCCCAAAGACGACCGGCTCGCTTCGCCCCGAGGTTCTGCGCGGAGCGCTCCTGCATGGCCTGCAAGTCCTCTCGGTCTTGTGAACCCAACTCCACTGGCAAACTCCCTTTAAAGCGAGTTCCTGGCATCTGGGAAAGTGGCCACAAGGACAAACGAAATGGTCTACGTCATCAATGGTCTACAAACACAACTTGGACAAACGAAATGACATCAACAAACAGCACTGAACTCTTCGAAACAAAGCTGAAGGTAGTTTTCGAGCATATCGGCAAAGCAACGTGCCCATCTTGGATACGTTACCAAGTGCTTTGATAGAGTTTTGATCAAAACGCCAGTGGCCAAACAAAGCCTTTGCATGTGCCGCCCTTAAAGAATGCAAAAAAACAAACAAGAAATCCCGTGCAGTGTAGGGCCGGAATGCACATAATTGCATCGATCAATGATTGAATAAATATTCTGGCTCCAATGCGCCAACCCTGCCTGGACCTTCACCTGCCCAAAAAGCACCAGGGAAATCAAGGCATGTTATCATCACTAATGATCCAGCTTTCTGGTTTGGCCTATGGAGGCCGTGAGCAAATTGCTTCCAACCTTCCTGGGTGGCTACGCGGTGATTCACGGACAGCATTGTCCACAAATGCTGATCAGCTTTGCAACACAATAGAACAGACTGGGATGGACTGGGGTATGGACTGGGCACAAGATGTTCCAGAATCCAAATTGTCATGAAATATCCTTGCAAACACGATGTCAGAAAAATCCGGCCCTGGGCGCTTTTCATTTGCTATTTGATATTATAGTATATCATGTATGCTGCTTGACTGAGTGGATTGTTACATTCAATGATGGGCGATTCTGGCCCTGTTCCCGCCAAATGAGCTTTGGTTAGTTTGCCTGGCGCCCAGGCTTTTCTGGACCAGCGGTATCATTAGGATTGGCCAGACTCAACCTTAGCCGCCGTCCGTCTCAAGATTTTCTACATCTGGGGGGGCACTCCAATGGAAACGTAGCAAAAAGAATGCTGCAAAAAAAACACATATAGATCGATGAATCCAGGGTGCTTGGGGGGGGCCTCTTTTTGAGCCACACCTGCATTGGCTGAGGACGATGACTTGCATGCGGTCTTGATGGCCACCATCTTGTCAAGCGGCAGCACCGCTGAATCGATGGTCAAAGGATCCTAAGCGATCTTCATGAAAATAATCAACATGCTGAATCCATAAATTTTTGATGATGTGTTTGGGAATCATCCTGAATCCATGATGTCACGGAATGATGCAGCCGCAAATGGGTTCCCGGCATCAAAGCTCGTGGTCAAGAATGAAGCCAATTGCTTGGACCGTGGCCTGGCAAACAAGGCAAAGCGCAAATCGGCGAGGAGTCGCACGTTTTCTAGGCTACATGAATGTTGTCGAACCTTGGTCCCAGCGAGCTGGGTTTTCACATCAAGAATGCAAGCGGTTCCTGCCCGCAAGAAGCGGGGTCACTCCTTCACAGTGCCATGTGATACCTGGCTGGAGATGGCATTCTCTTCTGTGCTTTCTTTCTCATATTAATATATATATATATATTTCATTATGTGTCCTTTTTCTTTCCTTGTTCTTTCTTTCTTTGTTTCTTCCTTTGTCAAAATTTGTGTCTGTCTTTGTTGTTCTCTCTCTCTCTCTCTCTCTCTGTTTCTCTGTCCGGCATGACTCGTCGCGGGAGGTTGTGTTCCGTCGTCTTATCAATCTTCGGTTGTGCAACCAATCCACAGCACTTTTCGTGGCCAAATGGCAAGTTCGAATGCCACACAAAACACTGCTCGCATGTTCTTGGCATGAATTACTGTATGGCTTCTTGCAGATGGTGCACATTCAGCATGAAGTTGGTGTTGACACGTGATGGCAAACTGTACAAGGAACAGGACTTTACAGTAAAGAAAACTGACGCTTCGAAGTCAGATCTTCATTGCATTGCTCCGCCTGTCGAATGAAAAAACGCCCTTGGCCCCCCCGCCTTTTTGGCATGGCCAATCCGTCAAGTGCGTGCTTAGAGCGCCATGTGGCATGCGACCTTTGGGGGAAGCACAAGAAGGAACCGGATGAAGCACAGTCGACAAGAAGGGCCAAGTGCGTCAAGAGATGTCAGTCTTTAGTCTTTGGCACCTGCACTGCCAGGTCGCACCCTCGACTTGAGCCTTTTCAGACGGACCTTTTCAGGTGGCGAAAAGGTTGAACAGCTTCGCACAAAGCCTTTGGCACAATGGCTGTGGAGACCCAAACATAGCGATTTCTCCACCACTTCCGGGAAAGAGTCATGCCATCATTGTGGCCTATGGATGCGCACATGCCCGTGCCGTAGAAAAGCAGCTTCACAAAACGGTCACAACATGTCACAAGATGTCACAAGTATCTTTTTCTTTCAGGGGGCCGACATGAAAATGCCATTGGAGGCTGTCTACGGTGGCATGGCTTGAGTGACACTGCTGTCAGCGACTCTGACGAGCAATGCAGGGATGCAGCATTGGGCAGCATTTGGCGATGTTGTGGTGCATCTGTGTTTCAGCTCCAATTTGCTCCGCTGCCCAAGCTGGCACCTGCGCAAAAATCCTAGCTAGAAGCTGAAGACTCGACGGATCTGGTGCGGGAGTAAAAACCGTTCTGAGCGAATTCGGTGAAGATCTCTTTTGTGTCCAAATTGTCCAGGCTTCGCCTCAGCCAGGTGTGTCATTGGAATCATGCGAGGCGTGTCGCTTCTTATCCATTGATGGTTGAATAAAGACTGTTTTGACTTTCCACTTGGCCGTCCGTGTCAAGGGCCATAGCAGTTTCTAGTATCTCGGTAACAAATCAATCTGTTGGACCATCCTCAGGCATCGAAAAGCATGCCCACAACAACCCGTGGCCAAGCAGCCGAAACTGGGCGAAGGCATTGACCACAATTCCTTGTCTCAGATTGAAGATGAACCACAAGTTGAGTCTTACTTGACACAAGTAAGGCATTGACCTCAATTCTTTGACTCTCAGGTCTTACTTGTGTCTTGATTCTTCGAGGTCCAACAAAGGCCTTTTCTTGAGAGATGATGAGCGGTCACCGTCAATACAGCCAGCTTCACACAACAGCCTGCTCTGACCACGAGAGCAGAAGCCATGACTAGAAAACTCCATGTCTTCACTGACATGATAAATGGCCCAGCGTCCGTTCACCTGTTCCACACAGGAAGTCCAGGGATTCGCATCGTCACTCGAGGTCGCTGCCTCACCTTGAGGGCATATCATCTTCGAAAACATCATCTCGTCGATCGGGTCCGTCAGCTTGTTCCTCACAACTTTGAGGGCCATAATCAAAACCACACTAGCTTACTTTTGAACAAGGACCGCGTCATTTCAGACAAGTCAAGTCCCAAACATGTGCAAAACATATTGTGGCATGAACCTCTGCACAGGATCAAATACACACACACAACTCCTAAGGCCCTAAGGTTGGCCGAACTGACATCCTAAAGGTCCCCATGACACTTTCTTCGGCCGTATCACGAAGCCACACAGCACCAAAGAGCCGCTCCTTTCCAATGCCACAAAGTTCCGGAACATCGCCACACGGTAGATCAGGGCTGGAGAGCATATCCCCTTCCCATCCACAGGCACGAATCCAGGAGTGTGGACTGGGTTGTAGATGAAAGAGGCCCATGCGTGGCCAACGTCTTCGTGAATCCAGCTCGTCCACAGAAGAAGTGTTCGGAGCACTCGAGTGAGAGTCTCCACGTTGAGCGGTGGAAGCTTGCTGAGTTCCATCTTGAGTTCCTCTTCACTTGCCGACGGCTTGTTCTGCGACGCATGGCGCATCTTGCTGGTGGTAAGGCTGGGTGCTGAAGTGCTCAAGACATGTGGGAAGTTGGCCATGAGCACGGGGGGGCAGCCCCTTCATTTCTGTGGTTGTTGCATGACTCGTGGTGGACGAAGCCTCAAAAGAAGACGCAATGAAAGCGGAAGGTTGTCTCACCTCTGAGGGCTTGGCCTTTGACTCCAGCAAAGTGGCTGGAATCGCCTGCGGGAATCGTGCGTTTCCGAGCCGAAGAGGCGTGTGTGTTCTGGCTGCCTTTCACATCAAGATCACACTGTGAAATGACCAGGATATGATTTTCAGTGATGTGGAGAAGCTCAAATCAACCGAGACCGGCCAGATGCGCGATGCCAGCGGACACCTCATGGGATCTCCGTCGTAGAATTCTTCAAAAAACTGAGACAACGAAACTTGCCCAATGGTTTTGGCTCACAGAGACTGGCAGGGTGAATGAGGACAATATGACACTCAAAAGGAGGAAACATCAAACCTCTCAATCCACTCTTAGCGCCCATCGCCATCGGCAGCTGCACCCTGACTCGACGGGCTCTGGCTGGGACACGCAACGGTCTAGAGCTCTGGCGAGTCTGCGTTGGCGGTTCTAATGTTTGTCTCCAGAGATATGCGTTTCCGTTCCGAACGAGTTGCCTCTCTGTCTTCTCGATGTGTGGCATCTTTAACCTTAACCTTAACATTTCAATTATCTTCTCAGCATCGGCATCTCCCAAGCAAAAAACAAACAGTCCGGGTTGTTTTCTTTGATTGAGGCAACGTGCTTTCAACTTTGTGTTGCACTTCTGCCAGACGCAGGTCCCAATCGAATACCTTCAAATGTATCATAATATATCCACATATGACATAATAATATGTCTACACATCTATTGTGTATCGGAATAATTATTGGGTGACACGTCGCACTGGGACTCATGTTCAAGGCTAGGTAGCTAGCTAGCATGTAGCACAATGTTATATTACTATATGATTATATAATTATACAATTATATATATTAATATGATCAGTATGCTTGTGCAGTCACAGTCTGGGCGTGGGTGTTGGTGGCTTGAGAACAATGTTTGTCTTGCAAAGATTGGGTGAATGGAGAAGGTGGGAATAGGCAAACAAGCTCCCCTTGGAAGTGAGGCCCATCGTGGTTGTGCGGGCAATCATGACCTGGAGATTCTGTTCCAAGTTTGTGCAACCAGTGGTTTGCCATTACCTGCTGTCAAAGTAAGCCGATCCTCAAAGCCCTGAAGTCTGCCTACAAGAACTAGTTTAAAGGAAAAGTAGAGTGACATTGTGACAGGATTCTATTAGGGCGATAGGATTCTATTAGGTTCCTTGACCAACAAGTTTGCCCTGGACTGCTTCCGACATCGTCAGACCATATGACGATGAGGTTCAAAGAGCGAATAAAACCACGCGTTTCTTGACATGTGATGCAGTTTCTCACACCAAACGCACAAGGCATGCTATAA